CTGCTGGTTCTGGGGGAGGAGCACACTTCCATTTTTTTGTTTTCAGCAAACTTTGAAATCGATAATGATTTATGACCTCCCTTTCTGTAATCAGGACTCACTCAGTATTGAAACAGAAACATAGCTTCTTAAGTGTGCAGATCAGCAAAGTTCCCTATTTTTGAAATAGCTGCATCTGTGATGCTCTGGCTGTGCTGGAGAGTCCCACAGCAGTACTATGTTGAAGTGCAACCCCACCCCCAGGTTCTGCCACCCTCCGATACTGGAATAACCATTAAAGGGAGAAAAAGTTTCCTGAGCGCCTTTAGTGTCTCAGCAGCAGCTAAGACAATCAAGTTGTAATGGACATTTATGCTACAGACTTCACAGATACCAGCGGAAAAGAACATCCAAGCTTGAATCATATTCTTTTTCAGAAAGAGAGGAAAGACTAAATCAACATTTACATTAAAAATGCTTTTAAAAGTAACAAGGATCATTTATTTCAAACATCTCTTTACATTAAACCAGAATATTTGTTCCATGGAAATTAGTAGGACGTTGGAATGATGTGGTATGTTGGACTGATGCAGGTTGCTTTTGAATTAATACAGCTTTTTGCTCTTACTAATGGAGGACAGATATATTTACACATTATTGAGCTTTCTATCTCTCATGATTGCATATATATTATTGCCTATTAAAAGAATTACGCAATGTTGCCTTTATCAATGAAGTTTGATATTTCCAGTTTGTCTTGCTTATTCTTCCTTGTGCTTAACTTTAATATTTTAAAAGCTACTGGAAAGGTCCAGGCAATAGACTTTAAATAATTCATTTGTCAGACTTTTTCTTGTAAATGTTTGTATCCTACAGATATTCTCTTCCATTTCTGCCCTCATCCATCCTTTCAGCCAATTTTGGTTTTGCGCACACCTTTATGTAATACTTGCTATTTTAAATCTGTCTGAGCAAGATGTATTATTTCTGGCATTCGGTAAGTATTTTCTCTAGAATACTTTAGAAATAATGCAGAGCATTGGAATAAAATGTTTTGTTCAAAAGAGGCTCAGCAAGTTTTTTCTGAAGGTTTTATAATATTTTTTCTATGGATGAAGTTAATACTATTTCTTTTGCACTCAACTTTGTTGTTCTCCTTGGTTGATCTACAGCTAAAAAGACTGACTGCACAACACACTGTCTGACATAGGTTTGGGTTTTTTCCCCCTCCATCTTTAGCTGTGAGAGGGATGTCCTAAATGGTCATCTCAGACAGTTCAGCAGGGATAGAAAGGAAGGGTAGTAGTACTGCTGAGCTCTGGGATTCCAAAACCATAATTAATTACATCCAGGACAGTCGGAATAATCACCTAACTGCCATGAGGTCCTCTTCAAAAAACTAAATCTGGAATGTAATCTTTTCATTCTCCTTTAAACTTAATGTCTATGGTCTGCCACAGGGACTAAGGATTGAATACTTCATGAGAAAACACTTACATACAATAAAGATTGTGTGGTGGACTCTACTGCAGGAACTCTCAGAATAACTAACCGAATCTGGACATATGCAACATGAAGTAAGATCTCTCCCTCCCACTAGGTCTTCCCTCAGAGCAAATATCCCTAGCCTCATATTTGTCAAAATTTATGCTGCCAAATTTTATGTTCCATAAGTCTTATCAGTAGAGAGAGAGAGAAAAAGATCACTATCTTTGCTATATGGATCCTTGCATTACTTGAAAAAACAAAACAAAACAAAACCCAAAACTCCCAAACGTGAGGGACAACTTCCACTGCTGAAAACCGTCAATGTGATCAAATATTGGCTATCTTCACGTACCCTCCCTGTCCCAAAAAAAACACCTGACTTTCACTATCTGTGCACCTTGCCAATTACACCTGTGTCTCAGTCTGAGGAGACTGGGATGTTTGCTAAAGAGGATGAGTTACAAGGTAGACCGAACTCCTCTCTCTCAGCAATTGTAAATTCAAAATTAAGGGTTTTTAATCGAGGAACTGTGGAAAAAACAGAAGAAATAACAACCCTTTATTAAAAGATACATGTATGTTGGCAAAAAACAGTAACAGAACACAAAAAAGCTAGATAGTAGTCCTAGAAAGAAAGAAAAAAGGTCTGACTGAATACTTCTCTGTCCTTTAGCGCAGCCCTAACCATGGCCGGCAGGGGGCGCTGTTGGATCGCTGAAGGTGCAGGGCCTGCAGGTCTCTGTCGTGGCCAGCAGGGGGCGCTGTTGGGCTCTGGCGGTCACCACACGGGGAGAGGGGTCGGGGGGGTCTCGGACTGTGGGAGAAAACGAGAAGGAAATGGGGGACCCTTCCCTCAGTGGGAGGAAAAAAGGGAAGGGAAGCAGTCCACTCCCACGGGACTCACCGCTGTCCCAGGTGACGGCATCTCAAAACTCCTCCCTTCTCTCCCGCGGGCACGTAACTCTCCAATGAAACACAGCAGATCCGGGGAGCGGGACAGCCAGGCAAGTCGAAGCCAGCAGTCCGAGCTGACCAGGATGAGAAGCCAAAAAACCAGATCCCCAGTCCCTCTCCCTAAATGCCTGCACGCAGACCCCCGTCTCCCTCCATTCAGTATGTGCATAAGGGACCTGGAAAAAGGACTGAACAGTAAGATAACAAAGATTGCTATAATATCAAGATATGCAGAGGAATAAGAAAAACAGATGACTATGAAGAACTGTAGGAAGACTTCTTAAGACTGAACGAAGAGGAATTCAATGTAGATGAAGTGACACACTTGATTAAAAAAACACAAATTGATATCTTAAATTACATGCTCTGAGTTGACAACCCCAATTCAGGGACAGGATCAGTAGACAAGTTCATGAAAATACCATCTTATGCTTTCTGAAGATTAAAAAAGAAAATCACATTATGCTATTGGGAAAAGAGTAGAACAATAGAAAACTAATATAATGGAATTAGAAAAGTTTTCGGTTAGGGTAGCAAGAAAAATGAAAGGCTTGGAATTACAGCTAAGCAATCACTAAGTAAAGTAGGAGCCCTCAGACTAGATGGGAAATGACAAAGCTCAGTGAAGTCAGGAGTAGCAGCTGAGTTGCTGAACTTCCTCTCAAAGGTTGCTGTGGGTCATAATGTTTACATGGGTTTACAAAGAAACTGAAAATTCATGGAAGAGAAAGCTGAGGAAACATACTAAACCTCCAAAAACTGTAAGACTGGGGATGCTCCTGAACTGCAAATATTTGGCAAATGGGAGGCAGTATTTGGGGACTGCATCATGTGTGCTTGCTTATTATTTTTGGCCAACCACACACCATTAGCAGCTATCAGAGTCGGGATTCTGGCACAGAAGGACCTTTGGTCTGCTCCACAGCAGCCACTTTTCTTATGTTCAATCAGGTCCCCTATTCAGACTGAAAAAGCAGCTTCAATTTCATCTTCCTTCAGTAGGCCCGACTTCAGAGTCCATGTAGATAAAAAAATCCAGCTGAGTGAAAACCAGCATACTCCCTGTTCACAGTGCTGCCTCAATGGATTTGACCTCATAGCTCAAGTGCTTTCACATGAGGGCAGAGGCTTCTCTCAGAACTCTGCATAGAAATGGGAAGAGACAATAACACCATTCTTTGGGCCTTCAGATAGCTCTGAGATTTCAGACTGGAGGACAGAAAATCCTCTTTCAGGGTGGCAGAGAATGCCACTATTTTCTCTACATAAAGTTCTATGATTCTATTTACTTTATGTGGTGGTAATATGCTACTGAAGATTTCTTCATTCACAGACATTATGGAAAAAAGCTGTAAAGTTGAGCTGGAGCCCTAGTTATAAAGACTTGGAACATTCTCTGACCTTTGCTAGCCAGATGTGGGGGTTTTTATTGAGTAGGTATCGGTTCTAGAAGACACCATCTGCAACAGGTCAGCTGTAATCAAAGTACAGCACACGCTGCTACGGTATTTGGATTTTGAAAACAGCACAGGTAATTAAAGACAAGTTTCACATGACTACCATAACATTTTGGTTTATTAACATGAGATGCACTTTTGTTTCTTTTCTTGTGGAATAATTAAAGTATTACTGCTCATAGCATAGTCTTTGGAAAACCTGTACCAAAAAAATATCCTTCAAAAGTGAAGCTTGATTTGAGTAGAAGTGCCGCTATGCTTGTGTATTAAAATAAATCAATACCTCCCTTCCAGGTTTTTGGGCAGGTCAATGAGTGATAGCAATATAATCTGTATTGTTTTTCTAACAGATGCCAGGTGTCTGCAGTCTAAAACCACTCAGTAATCAAACGGTTTCTGGGTTGCTGTTAAAATTGGACAGAGCGAGGCACAAAATTAGTTGGATATCACGCCTTTCCATTATGCCCTCGCCTCCTCCTTGGCAGGGATTCTGAAAATATATGATATTATAGTGCATTTAGACGTAGGCTTTGTGGGCTAAGGCACAAGATGTTGAAGGGCCCATCATCATGCCCCGGAACGGAAGATAGTTAAGAGGTCTTAGTGATGCACACTAAGAGATTCTGAGAGCAGCGTCAACCTAGAATTCACACTGATTCAATAACACATCTGCATAAAGCTGAAACACTTCTCATCTGTTTAGGCCCTTCCATCTGACCTGACTTATTTTTGTGCGACTGGAAATCACGACATGAAAGTGAACAAATGAAGGCTCTATGAGGTCAATACACAGTATTTCATCAGCAGAACCATCAGTTTTAACTTCCTATCCCATCCCACACCTGCCTCCCCTCTCCCCCCACGTACACACATTGGTATGGATTTCCACAGTACCTCAAAACACCAGGTTCTCAGCTTAGAAAGGATACCAATCCTGTGGAGTTTTGTAACTGCCTATCCTTATTTTCCACCCTGAAAATATTGGATAACTATTCCAAAATATGGAAAAGTCTTATCAACTGTAGCACAGCACTTGGACCTCATTGAGGCCATCCTGAACTTACTCCTTTCAAGAGCTTAACTTTTGTAGGATTAATATAATCAACTTGAATCTTATCCTACCTTTTTGAGGAGGACTTCTCTGTGCCATCCAGATTATATGCAATGACAGGGCTTGTCTGCGTGGCCATCTGACATCATATCCTTACTGCTGCACACCTTCCACAGTTCCACTGAAGCGCGTGAAGCTTTGTTAATGAATTCGAGGAGAAGGAGCACATTCATTTTTGGTTCTCAGCTATTCAAAATGCAGTTGTGATGAGGAGTCTCCTTTGGGTTCTCTGTTTTTCTTCTCTCTTTTAAGGAATGAAATCTGTTGTGAACACCAACTTCATTAACAACCCATATCTAAGAGCTCTCTAAACAGTCATTACAAAGTGACTGAAATTGTTGGATTGTTACTTGCATATACACTGTGATATTTTTATAAGACCTGCTTTGCTGCCAAGAAGAGACTCCCCGCTTCAAACATTCGGACTGATAACTGGCTGGACTGCCAAACCCATGCTGGTTTCAGATGAAATTACAGTGGCTTTTCTTTGAAAAGTGAAGAAAAGTTACAGTACTCCATGTCTTCTGTGAAATCAAAGCTGCAACAAATCAAACCTAAGAAGTAATATGAGTTTTGACAAAAAACTTCTCACTGCAAATTCTGAGGTGTTATCTGGATGTTTCTTTTCTCCCTGGCTTGCTGCTGACACACACTCAACAGCACTGAAATACAAAGCAGCACCAAGGCTGTATTTGTGCTGCATGTACAATGGTGCTTTCAGTTTGACTGTAGTAAGAATTCCCTAAATCATGTGTGGATTACTGCTGCTGCCTAGAGGGAGCTGTGGAAACAACAGATCAATTCTTTTTTAGCCAGCTACAAATTTCCAATTAAACCCTGCAATGACATGTCAGTATAAAGCAGCAAGAAGTATATTTTCATTTAAAACTAATTAGGAGGATTGCTGATACACTGGCATATGCACTTTCTCATGAAGGTTCAGGGGGGGAAAAAAAGAAGTTTGTGTTGTTTTTTTTTTTTATTTCATACATACACTTCTTTTTTGACAAGAAAGAACATTTGCAGTCTCTCCTTGATTTTTTTTTTTCAAAGGCTGGCTGCATTATTTTACCTTTTCCTCTGTACTCTTCATTTCCTCTTTCCAGTTTCTCTTTACAGCTCCTTTTGCTACCATGGAAGAAACCCTATACTCTGATTGAAGAATTACATTTTCCACCTACTATCTAAAGTGATTTAGGCGAAATGGGAACACAGCAACCTCAGGGAGAAAGTTGTTTCAGGATATGAAAATCATTCAGGACAGAAAATGAGCACTAAAAGACACACTAAATAAAGGTTAACAGCCATTTGATCTGCTAAAATTAAGAACTGCTCCCCTTTTCCTCTGCCCCTTCCCAAAACCAGCTTAAGTGATACATGCAAAAGTGTCTGTGATGTGAATGTACTTCTCCTTTACCTAACTCATTTTTAACACCAGTACCATCATCACACTTATCAAGCCATTTGTCAACTCTCTAAACATACACGAAATTTCATTAGATGCCGCTTTATTGTTTTAAGACTGAAGCTACTTATGAAAATCAAACAGACAAATCCAGCCTACAAAAACCAGTATGTCAAAAATATTATTCCCAGCACTAATGCCTTTTCTTTGTTAAAAGCTTGAACAAGGTGAGCTCAGGAGGAAAGAGCTTCCATTCTGCAACAATTTGAATTTTCTGAAACAAAAGGCAACCCTGTGCCAAAACAAAACCTACAAGCAGTATTTCCACAAGGTGAATTCTGCAATAAATCCTTTTTAAAAATGCTGCACTTCCCAGAATGCTACATTTTCCAGAATCCATTACCTGTTGGAACCAGACAGCCCACCTCCAGTCAGCCAGTTCTTCCTGAGGGAAAAGGTACAGCAGGATTCCTAGGAGAAATTGGAAAAATCAGGCAGCTAGGAGCCTTGGCAGGCAAGACTACCTTCCTTATCTTGCTAGTCAAAATGGTTTTCTCCATCACCAGCAAGGAAGGGTTTTTCTTAACCTTGGCACTAAATCCTGACAGCTCCGGCACTTGTAAAGCAGCATCCCAGCTCTCTTGGGATTCAAACGTTGTCCTCTGTTCAGACACTTAGAGGAATTTTTCCGCAGCACAGATCTCCTTCATTTGATTCCTCTAGCAAAGGAAAAGCATTTCTACCTTGACAGAACCACATGTCCACACGTAACATTTTTTGCTGTTACAAGATTTTTGTAAAATTATTTTTACAGTTCAATGGTAGTCTTTGTTTTGGATTTGCTACTGAAATATACTTATCCAAATTAAACACCATGTTTTCAGTTCAGTAACTTTTTATTTCCAAAACTGAATTAAAAACGGAAACAAAGCTAGATACATAGTTATCATTAAAAAGCATTTTAAAATAGCAGTTCACCAACATCCATCTTCAGAGAGCAGTTTTTGACCTATGGGGTAAATGGGCAACTCAGTATCATTTGTAATGTAAAGCACTATTTAATTTATTTTCTCTCCATGTTCTTTATTTCAGATAACCTTCTTTCAGGTCACATAAGGGCATCCATATTTATACTACCTCAAAGGATGCAAGTGCACAGGCACTTCACACAAAAATAATTAGGAAATATTTCACTCCAAAGCCAAACATGTATAAAAAACAATTTTCTGAATGTTATATATCCACACTGAAGGTCAAATGTGGTTCAACTGCAGCTCATCTGACTGTACTACAGATGTCATTACATCTAAAAGGATTAGAGTTTAGCATAATCCCATTAGTGATAAAAACAGTTTGAAAAAAGACTGCTGGGATCTGCTCTGAAAACAAGGGGCAAGTCTTTAACAGAGTATTTCACAAACAAAAGTCTGAGTTAGGAAAAAAAAAACCACCACAAACTCAAAAGTTGATACAGTTGAAGAGGAATTGTAAGGAAAGATGTGTAGTTGAAACTAAATGGGGATATACTGAAAGCTACGCTAATGTCCCAAGATTCTTATCCTTTCATACCTCTGCAATGGCAAGAAACAAGCTATAAAAAAAAAAAAAAAATCAGACAGAAAAAAAAATTCATGTATTTTTAAATATACTTGATTTTGAAAAAAAAAAAATCCTTGAAATACTTTGCTCCAATACAGCTGGGAGAGTGCAATTAACATTTAGTTATAACATTCTCATCTTTCCTTACAGGAATTAAATCCAGCTTTTTTTATATGTTTTAACTTGAGTATGCTACTAATTTGTCATCATTCTGTTTTGCCTCCTCTTTTTAGGGTCCTTTTGAAAACATTTTGGCCAATATAACAGGCCATTCTTCTGACCTGTTTTTCTTACGTAGTATGCAAGCTCAGAGACTGATGATCTCTTTTGATAAAACATCTTGATTTCTGATATTTATCCAGAATCAACTCCAAATCCTTTTCAAGTACGGCAAACATTATGGAAAAAGCAGTACTGTGTTTTTTCAGACTTGTCCAAGTGTTGGAAGGCAAAGAGGAGTATTAAAATGGGGGAGGGAAGGAAAGAACCCTTGAGTACCAGGGAAAAAACCCAAACCAAGACACATCACTCCTTAAGAATCTTCGTTTGCTATACCTTGACACCACTATACTAAAAGATTATGTCAAAATCCCACATTACAAAATACAATCACCATAGAGGCAGTTTAGCTTATAGCTTACTTTCTTTCTAATTATATTAGAATTTCAAGTTCAAAACTTAGGTTTAAAAATAAATCACAAGTCATGTCTCAAGGTACTGCTTTTAGACAAGAACTAAAAATATGTCAGCTGCTTATGCTAGAAAGCAATTCTGTCAGATTAGATTAATTGATGAAGACGAAACCTTTTTGATCAGCCAGCTATCATTCAAGAACTCTGCATTTTACTTCTTGATATTGTCTTGCACTTCCACTTACAGGACTGGCACTGAGAAGTCACACAGAATGTCACAGGTGGGTTTTGAATGTCCCCAGAGAAAGAGATTCCATAACCTCCCTGGGCAGCCTCTTCCAGTCCTCTGCCACTCAGTGTAAAGAAGCTCCTCCTCATGTTGAGGTGGAACTTCTTGTGGTTTAGTTTATGGACATTACTCCTTGTTCCTGTCACTGGGGCACCACCTAGAAGAGTCTGGCACCATCCTCCTGGCACCAGCTTTTCAGATATTTGTATGCATTAATGCGACACCTTTCTCCATTTTCTCCTCTCTGGACTGAACAGGTCCCACTCCCTCAGTCTCTTCTCAAGAGAGATGATCCAGACGCCGAATCATCTTTGTGGCCTCCACTGGATCCTCTCCAGTAGCTCTTTGTCTTTCTTGAACTGTGGAGACCAGAATTGAACACAATACTACAGATGTGGCCTCACTAGGGCCACGCAGAAGGGGAGGATCACATCCCTGGACCTGCTGACCACACTCTTCCTGATGCACCCCGGGATACCATTGGCCCTAACACCACGTTGGTTCAATCAGTCTCATCTCAACACCTAACACTCAGGTTACCACAGGGAGAAAATACTGAAACAAATACACAAGTCTGGCCTCAAGATTAAACTGTGAATTTTTTCTATAACATTGTGATGACATTAAATGGAAAGTCTGCAAGGTAAATTCAAGAAGTAGGTGACAGTGAAATTACCTGCATGAGATGAAAATCAATTCAGAACCTTCAGTGTTATTACGTAGTAGTCATAAGCCTTATATACGAAACAAATGCATATGCAAGATAGTAAATGAAGTGGCAAACATTTTTAAATAACATCTTTAATTAAAGTTTTTGCAAAGGCAAAATATTAAACTTAAAATAGGTCTTAGTACATCAAAATACTAAGTTCTCTAATTGTATTCCAAGCATGGCCTTTGAAACATAATATCCTGTATATCACAGAGGAGCAACCTTGATCTGCAATTGTACAGAATGAATTTTACAAACATAATAAATATATTTACCCCCTTACACATAACAGTATATGTACAACAGCAGTTGACAATAGTAGCTCAGAACAGCAAAAAAGGATAGTCCCCCTCTCCATAATCTACCGGTACCCTATGCACTCTGGAACATGTCTCATTGGATGACTGTACATACAGCTAACCCAAGGTAGTTCTTCCTGTTTAAAAAAGCTCCTTTTGTTTCACAACGTCTAATCCACCAAATAATAATTAAAAAACACACTGCATGAACTGCCTGAAAAAAGTAGACAACATGGAAACCAATGTACTGGTTTTTACATATTTCCCAACCAATCACAGCAATGGGAAAAACGAGACTTTAAATGCCAGACACCAATACAGAACAATATGCAAGTTTCTTCATCTTGTATAGTCACTGATCTCAAAGTCTGAGAAGAACTCTAATCTCAGTCGGGGGGGTGTGGGTGGGGTGGGATGGCACACAGTAAACTCCACAATGCTGTGTAAGGCAGCCCAGTATCAATCCAGTGTGTGTTACTGTAAAACCATTGTTCACTTCCTGGACATCTTATTGCAATCTATTAGGAAGCTTTTGCATTGGGGGAAATTTTGAGGGGCTTTATTGTTTTTAAAGGAGCTTTTACAAATTGAAGAGACTGAATCAATATGAACTTTAGTTAACAAGGTCTCTGACTCCTTCACTGAAATTAAGAAACTTTACTCTGGTAGTGTTATGTGGTGACATAATTACTGCTAACTGTCAAGTGGTGGAATTATTTTCACAGACTCAATGAAGTTTACTTTAACACTCCTAATTGTGCAGCAGAGAGATAAGAAAACATTTATAAAAAAATCTGTTATGTGACACAACATGTTTTTTGCTCTCTTCTAGAAAATGTGCTTCAGAATCACATATCGTTCTTGGAAATAAATTCGGACCACAATTATCACTTTAAACAGTGTTTTGGAAACTTAATAATGTTCAAATGCAACTTGTGAGTACAATGCAGGAAACAAGGAGTATGAAGCCTCAAAGAAATCTTGTCGCTATCCAGCAACTGAGGGGGAATAAAAACATATTTTATTTAAATAGTCCAATATAAAGTTCCTTATGTGACTAAATTCTCTATTATCTTCTTAAAAGAAAACATATTTCAATTTGTCTTCCACTTAGATGTTTTTAAATAATTGCACACACTAAAACCCAACAGAACTAGAGCAAAAAAGTTGCTTTTCTGATTGAAGCACTGCAGGAAATTTACTCTCTCAGGAATCAAAAAAAGTATTGTCATACTGGCAAAACAGGTATTCTGCAAACTGAAAAGGCACAAGACTCAATTTTGCCCAGTTGCTCTACAAGTTTCCACCAGCCATCATGGTTATAATTATGAAATTATCTTTCCCCATTTTTTTCTATCATAAAAAGGTGCTCCATTATCTGTGCAAATTTTAACATAAGCCCTCTTGAAACCATTAATTGTTTCCATTAATACTGAACTATTTAAATTGAAAAAAACCCAACAACGACAACAAAAAAAGCTATTTCTAAAAGGGGGAAAAATTCATTTAATAACTATGAACATGAGAATCCCTTGCCCTCTGAAAGGAATGGTCTCTTTTGAACCTAATGAAATGGTCTGTTCAGTTATATTGTTAAAACCATGATTAAAAATTCAAGTACAATAATAAAATTAAGCAAACTACATTCTTACAGCAAGCTGCTACAATAAAATGAAATTAAACATGCTTTTTGATTTAAAAAAAGGAACACTTGATGTAGCGATAAGAGCACAGATTGGTATGTGCATGGTCTGACTGGTTTTCCCAAAACTTCACAGATATTTGTATTTGAAGACAAAACTTATCTGAAAAGCATACCATACAATTAGCTTGCAAGAGACTGTGCAAGTTCAGAAAGCTTCTAACATCCTTCAGAACAGACTAAGCTTAATTACCTTTAAAGTTCAGCTACCCCTTAAAAATAAATAGAAAGGCGATGCAGTTTCTAGCATATGTATGTGGGTGAAAAATATAATTAAAACGTATGAAAACAAAGT